AAATGGAGAGTTTCGCACCATTTTATTAATATTTTAATAGAAAAAAGTGCGAAACGCACTATTTTACAAAAAAATGGAGAGTTTCACATGATTTTATTAATATCTTAATAGAAAAAATGTGAAACGAATTATATTAGTAACAAAAATTTTTTTGAACTAAGATTTGGATTTGCGTAGCGTTACTATGAAAAAAAAGTTGCGTAGAGTTAATAGTAAATGCATGCCGATCATTTGTGAGTTATATTAGTATTATTCAGGGTCCTAGTACATACATAAAAAACCATACTATACAGGTTTAAGTAACACCTCTAATCTGAAGATATTGGAATATGATATGTGAATTATCAGGTGATTATCAGGTGACTGATATTTCGTCATGATATTTGTTATGTGCTTTGTATTCTTTAGTAATCGTAAACAATAGTCAACACTTTAAGTAAAACTGCATTTAGTTCAATTACCAAGAACAGACTCTATATATTATAGAGAGGGAAATCTTTGTAATTTCTGACAATGACATGAGGTTGTCAACTTGATTTTAGCAAGTAGCGATGCAAAAAAAATTTTCCCATAATTTATGCCTAAAAGGTGCCCAATAATGAACTACTAACCAATAAACAGCAAGCATTATTTTTCTTATCTGTTAATCTGTACAGTACATCATTTAGTAGATATGTTTTTTACTCTGTAAAAGCGTTGAATATACTAAAATATCAACTGTATAATAAACTACCATGAGCTATTGGTATTTCAATTTTCAAGTAAATGATCCTATTATTGTATAATCTGTATAATGTTCTACTTTAGCATACATTATTAACGAAAATACAAAAAAATATTCCGCTTGCTATCTAACTAACATGAATGAAAAAAGATTCAGACAATGGATATAATAATATTTTTGTAATTGATGAACTATTAGTGTATATGAAGTATATTTTAGGGATTGGAATGGAATCAAAAATCGAATCTTTTCAAGATTTTTCTTATAGACGACCAACCTGACTTTGAATCAGTTTCTAATTTCAGCAAAAATAATTGGCACTTGGCCGGCATGAAAAATTACTTGGAATCAGGTTAACTTATATGTAAAAAATTGCTGAGAATTGATTCTCAAGAATCAATTTTACTATGTTTTGTTGATTTTTGATTAATCAATTCCAATCCCTAGTATATCTAACTATCTCCACTCTTGAGTGCAATAATGTACGGAATAATATATTCTATTTTGCTACAAGATATTTATATTTTATATATTCGTATTATTATAGTCATATTAATACATTACAAGTATTTTATTATATTTAGTTCATCGGATAATTGAAATTCATTATACAGTAATAGAAATGATCGTCGTACACCCACCCTTAATCAAAAACGATATATTTGCCTCAAACGCGTCAAACGCGCGACTCAAATCTACTTGTACCAAGCAGAAATGGCTTCTACGGCAGAAATATCTAATCAGTCATACCCTGGCCAAGCGAGTAAGTATAAATAGTACAAATAGTCAAATAATACAAGAAGACTACTGCCTTTCATCTAATTCTACTTGTGTTAAAATTCTTGTAGATATCATTGCCTATCTCGACAGCGAGGATCCGTCTAACTGGTCTTTTTCTGACTTCCTTTCCTCAAATTTCGTTATGATCGTAAATTCACCACCCGACACAAACGACGTTAATGGTCTCACCGGCACTTGGTGGAATCGTTTCAACCTTGAAGTAGAGGCCAAAGGTCATAAAGCTGTTAAAGTGAGTATGCTTCAATTTTGTTAGGAAGGCACCTCCTGTCAGGTCACTATCTGACGTGGAGCATGAGTAATTTACTCGCCGAGTGCTAGAGGGTTTTTAAAAAATCTTACCAGGTCACTATCTGAGTCAAGAGGATCAGTACACTTACTGCTCCCTCTATGTGCGATTTCCTTTTGGTTGTTTTATCATTAAATCTTGTGTGAGCTGGTCTATTTATTATCTTACTAATCATGAAAAAATATCTAATTAAACTCTCAAGAATCGCCGTTCGGACGTCCAAAAATTTTTTTACGATGTAATTTCTGCTCGATTGGAGGTAGGTGTATCTTTATTTCATTAATTCACAGCACTGTTAGCATATCAAAATCTTTAATTATAATTTTAAACGTTACAATAGATCACACGACAACAAAATATTGCGATTTCAAAGGTGGGTTTGAAATTATTTTTGTACCTAGAATTATTCAGCATGTTTAATAGAACTTTTTTATGATCAGTCAAAGGTTAAGATTATTGCAGACAAACAAGGTATTGACCTTGTGGGATCATCGTGTGAATTTTATGGATCCGAAATAAATTCAGAGTATTCGAATCGAAATTTAAATAACAATGAACATATTATTGGAAACAATAAAAGGAAACGGCCAGCTGAGGAAGCCTCCCGCATCATCACTTCTCCTCCCAATCTTCGACAACGTGAGCAGGATGAGCCACGAACTCTGGAAAACAAGGTGGTTGTGTTTTTCCATTGTTTTAATGTATAGCTCAATAAAGATATCTTCTCACCTTTAAAATGCGTCCACAGATCAGAACCACTAAAGACACTAATGGAACAGAAATGGAAAAAAATGATAGTGATATAATGTACAGTGATGAAGAGTCCTCCTCCATCCCCCCTACGAACGTTTTCTCTGAGACTTCTCTTTCGCAACAATCTCATACAGATACTACCAAAGTGGATTCATCTTTGGCATTGGCAAAAGAAGTAGGGGACATGTCTGCTTCTTCCGCAATTTGTAATAATGAATCGCAAGATCTTGATACGCAACTTGAAACTGATACTTCATTTTCCGAGTTCGACCTAGTAAAGTTCGATGAAGGGTACTCTAAATTAGATCCAAATTGCATGTGGACGCTTGAAAGTGGTCGAAAAGTGGAAGAAGTAATCTATGAGTTTGCTAGAAATTTGCCTGGAGAGACATGCCTGCATTCATTTATAATAAATGATGCTCATGCTGATGTTAAATCTTTATTTTCCGAAGCCGAATGGGAAGAAATTACTGCTTTGGATGTTAAGGAAAATCCAAAACTCGAACGCTCTCATCGGGAATTAATGATAAAATACACAGTTAAAAGTGTCAAGGAATTGCGGGAAATTATCTATGATCCGTTTATACCAGATGGTAATAAATATGATAAAAGTCTTCATCATGATCTCGATTTTATTAATCATGCGTACCGGAGTATGTTGTTTTTATGGGATCGGGAGGAGAATCCTTTTGATTCTTCGAAGATAGAGGGATGGTATGAAATGAACGTTTGGAGCAACTTGATCGATCCGACATTTCACGATATTTACATTGATTTAGCGCGTGGTGAGGGTATGAGCTGTGCTTCAAGTGATAGAAAGAATATTATAAGAACGATCAATGATCGAAAGAAGATCGGCCGAAAAGGGGATGGAGTTTTTAGGTTGCGTGGGTATCGCCTGGAATTTGGTGCCATAGAGGCAGGTCGTAAATGGGAAGGACAGAGCGGGACTAAATACTTGAATGATTCCTTAAAACTAAATAAAATGATGAAAGACATGATTGCACAGCTCACTACTATATGTGATAGGAGAGAAGACCTTGTTAGGAAATTGGAAGTTATCGGGATTCTTCATGGAGCCAATAGAATTCAATTAATCACGATGGATTGTCCAAAAGGATATATTTCTCGTGTCAAACATAGGAAGTTCTATGAAGTTTCCGGACGCCTAACTAAATCCAATCCACTTGCTTTGGTCTTGAAGGAAATATTATGCGCGAAAACTATTATTCTACGGACATTAGACTTGATAAACCAAAAAGATGACGTTGATCTTGAAAATTTCCTTAATGACTCTGATGAACAGGACGGGTATCGTACGCCTCCTCCCAAAGTTAATATAGCTCCTACTTTCGAGACTCAGAAGACAGCGAAAACCAAAGATGTGATCAATAAAAAAAAATGAGATGCTATTGTGTACGTAGTTATTAGCTTATAGGACTTTTGTGATCTAGTCACACGCAAAACAATTATACTTAGTGCATGTAATCAAGATTAATAAATATTAATAAAGCATTTATTTGCAGGCTTAACATGTATAACTGTGTATCGGAAAATAGAACTCGTTAACCGTGGCACATGCGAAAATGATATCTGCGAAGTAAAAATATCATATGTCCAAATCTACTTCATAATTCTATTAGTGTCTTTTTTCTGAATCACGTGGGTGGCTGATCTTCCCAGTATCGCCACAAAATTTTCCCACTTCTACGTGATCTTAAAAATTTGTCACCGGCGTCACATTCTTCCTGTTTTCCATTTTTACTATGTATTTCAGGGACTTAGATTTTTTTCAGTGTGTAAAATCCTATATGTCGCTCCTTATTTGTCACATGCTTAATTTCTTAATGCCGGCCAAAAATCACGTGGGGTGGAAATTTTTTGTGGCGTTACTGGGTAAATATCTGTAACTCATCTCGTGATTTGAGTTGTGAAGAAGTAGGGTGATACAGACTTTATAATTTAGCCATCCATGGTGATTGAATCTATTTTTAACCAAATCATTGGAATTATAAATCTATTTTCACCCAAAGTTTTTTGAACAAAGGGATAATCGAATAAAAATGAATATGATATTTTATTATAATATACTTGCTATAAATTGCTATAAATCTTTAAAATTGCTAAAAACATTATAAATCACTAAAACAACTATAAAATATAAAGTGCTATAATTTCACTATATTCGCAAAATGGTTAAAACTAATTACTATTCTGGTTTGAATCCTGTAATAGTACAAGCAATAACTAATTATATATTATTGGATGATTAAATTAAATAATAGTTTAGTGCCGCATTAAACTATTATTTAGTTTAATCATCCAATAATAATATTATAGTTAAGACTTCAAAAATCATGCCTGATTTTTTATAAAATAAGCTTTTATATTTTTACACATTCAAATAAGTTTAAATAAGCTTTATTATTTTAGTTAAAACTTTTACGTGTTTAAATAAGTTTAAATAAGCTTTTATTGTTTTAGTTGAAACTTTTACATGTTTTTAGTCTATTAAACTTCTACACATTCTGCCTTTATAAAATTAAATTTTCATTTAGATTATTAAATAAACTTTTCATATTTTAGTTTTACAAATTATTTCGTTTTTCTCTTCTTTTTCTAAAGAATATTACAGAAATGCCACAAAACAGTAATAAACGTGCACAGATTGAAAAGTGAAAAATCAGGCATCAATCAGTCACCAATCAGGCAGTTTGCTAACTTTTGATCCAGTGATCAGAAAAAGATGAAATATAAGCCCTGTTCAATTCTAGATCTGACCAGATTGATCAAAAATTTACACCCTTAAATAATTGGTTGCTGATGCGGTCAGCGGTCAGTCATACTGATCTACAAAAATTGGTGTTTTTCCCTGATCACAATCTATATAATAAATGACGTGTCTAGCGTCTGCACGTTTTTTGCCTTAAACTTTTTGAAGTTCTAACTTTTACCATGCCTATTCCAAAATCTACTTTTTGTCCAATTGCTCCTAAACCACAAACACCTGTACGGGACCCTGATGTTATAGCTGTATTAACATTTACTCTATCAGAAATTCAAGAAGTAACGGTACCTACTACTGATGTTTCAACACCTGTAATCACTAAAGTTTCTAAAAAGAATAATAACCAAAAAACAGAAAGAGCAAGTTCTGTTGAAGAAGAAACTGGCTGGGATGATACAAATACTGGATTATTGATAAGTTTTCTTGAAGATAATTTTGATATTTACAAAAAAAATAAGTCCAATTTTGCCAAAACAGCTGCTACTAAGATTTTTTCAGGAAAGTCGTGGGAGCAGATTAAAAATAAATTATCTCATCTTGTGACTAAGTATAATGAAATTAAAGAAAAGGAGAACAAAACAGGAAGAGAGACGCAAGTAAAATGGAAATGGTTTGACAGACTTGATGCTTTGTTTGGAACTCGTGAAAATCACAATTCGGGATTTTTAGTAGATGGATTTTCTGATGATGTTCAATTGTTTGACAGTTTTAAAGAAAAAGAAACAGAAACTAACGAAGAAGTTTTAGCAGAAAAAAAAGATAATCAAATTACTAAAAAACAAAAATCTCTTTCACAGGATCCATTAGCCGAAGCTATAATTTCTATGAGTAATGCAAGACAAATAATTTGGGAAAAACGACTTGCCTCTGAGAATGACCAGTTTGAAAAGAAGCAAGTAGTTGAAAAGGAAATTAGAGAAGCAGAAACAGTTTTTAAAAAAGAAGAATTAGAAGTTGAGCGAATTAAAGCTAAAACATTGCGAAAGAAAATGGAGTTTAAAATAGAGCAATCACGTATGCAATATGAGATTAGAATGAAAGAATTGGATTTAAGAATGTTGCAATATAAATCATCTTTAGAATAGTTGCAATTTAACGTTAATAAGTAGTAGTAATAATAACAATAGCAATAATAATAGTAATAACAATAATCATAATAATAATAATAGTAAAATAATATAATAAGTAATAATATAATAATAATAATGGATTTAACAATAAATTTGTGAATAACAAACCATTTTGCTGCAAATTTTTTATTTAAGAATTTAACATATATTGTATTTTTTAAAAAATTCAATAAACTTAAAATTTAAATCTTTTATTTATCATATATTTGATGAAAATATCTTTTAAAATATGCATGATATATTATTTATGAAAAATTTATGAAAAATGTTGATGAAAGATTAAGTTTCTTTTAGCCTGCCCAGTTCTTTTTAATACCTCATCATTATTCCTTAATGTATAATTATCATTTTCGTCATTATCATCTTCTTCTATATTATCATTAAAATCACCCTCCCAAATATCCATATTCATTTCTAAAAAGTTATGTAAAATTATTGCACAACATGTGAATAATACTCACATCTTAACCGTTTTAATATCAAGATCCTTTAACGTTCTAAATCTTGCTTTTAATCTCCCGAAGGCATTTTCTATTACAACTCGATAACGTGAATGGAATTGATTAAATTTTTTGTGTTTTTGAGAAGATGGATCTTTAAAAGGTATGATTAAGAAAGGAGAAATAGGATAAGCTGAATCACCCAAAAGATAATCATCATCTTGAATAAGATGAGAATAATCTTTATAAAAAAAAGAAATTCTATAAACTAAGGCATCATGTACTGAGCCCGGCCAGCCAACATCAAAACTAGTAAAAATGCCTCTATCATTTACAATACCTTGACAGTGAATAGCATAGCATTTTTTTCTAATAAAGTAAACCTCTGGATTTTTATTTGGAGCATTTCTCATAGGAATATATGTTCCATCAACTGCTCCAATTACATTTTTAAGCCCTCCTAAATTTTCAAATCCTTCATTAACTTTTTTACGCTCTTCTGAAGTAGGCCACTTAACAAACCTCTTTTTTTTTGCTAAAATTGCTTGAATAACTCGTTTAGTACAAAGAATTACCGTCCCTTCTCCTATTCTAAATCTTGAACAAACTTCAAACAAACTTCCAGTAGATCCAAGTCGACAAAGAAATACAGCTAACTGAAATTCAACATAAGCTTGAGGTTTATTTCCTTGTGATGAAAATACATGATGGGATCGTATAAGGTTGGCTAATTGTTGGAAGCTATGGTGATGCATTCTTAAAATTTTTTTAAATCGAGTAATATCATAAAATGGAAGAACATTTTGCCACCAATGCTTTGACTTCACTACGCGGTATAATCTTGGTTCTGAATACCGTGTATTTATTCGTTTTATTAAAACTGTTTGTAAAATGATATTATCCTCTTCATCACTTGAATTTTCCTCTTCTTCTTCTTCATGTTCATCTCCTAAAAATATTTGTAACCATAACAACTTATAAAGTCTTTCTTTACAATTCATATTGTAACGGTAAAAGAAAAGAAGTCGTTGACGCCAATCATATCTATTACGATCAATCTGATTAATCAAAAATGTGCTCAATTATAACTGCAGTTTGATTGATTACACTATTTTTTGGTCAATCCGATCCGATCTAGAAATGAACAGGGCTATAGCTCATTGGAATCGTCTCAACATGACGAATCTAATGGTAGTAAAATCGCATTTCTAGAATTAATACTTGATGAAAAATTAAGTAAAATATAAAAATGAAAATGTATCATTTATATTTTATTTAATTTTTTATTAACTATAAATCCTAAAGATGCAATATTACTAACATTAGATTCGTCTTGTTGAGACGATTCCAATGAGCTATATTTCATCTTTTTCTGATCACTGGATCAAAAGTTAGCAAACTGCCTGATTGGTGACGGTATTTGGCGAAAATGCCAATCAGGCACTAATCGGTCACCAATCAGTCACCAATCAGCTACCTGATTGGTGACTGATTGGTGCCTGATTTTTTACTTTTCGACCTGTGGTGCTCAAACAGCTAATGTAAGCTATATTCATATTTGTTATTTTTCATTTTATTTGATGTATATAATGTATTCTTATATCTTTTTTTTTAGCTATCTAAAACTGCAACCTTTCATGAATGTGCAGAATTCTTTAAAAAAAGAACACTAAAGCCTCTATTAAAAATTGGATAACATTATTAGAAAAATTTTACAAAAAAGCAGGTTTCATTGAAAAAATTGATGAAATTGCAACAGAAGCTGAGTTAGATCAACAATTATCAGAATATATTGCTGCAATGAGACAATAAAATGGTCAAGAGTAGCAAGTTCTGTTCAGGCAGCTATTGCAGCAATTAGACAACACTTAATTAACAATTCTGTTATTGAAGGTGTAGATGTTCAACAAAAATCTCTTTTTCCAAATTTATGGAAAGTTTTTAATAGAAAAATCCAGTATCTTTTAGATTTTAGCTTAAATGAACCTAAAGGATCTGATGCTTTAACTGTTGATAAAATTATTCAGATTTTTAATCACCAAAAGATGGATAGTAGTACTCTAAGAAGGCTATTATATCAAATTTTTTTTTATAATGCAATTCTTCTTGAATTACGTGGTAAGGAATATTTCAAGCTTGATGGTAAATGACTTTAAAAAAAGACCTGATAGAGGTTTTGATGTTTGGATTTTTAGATCAAAAGCTAATCAAAAGATCAACACTAATCATCGTGAAAAAGGAGAAAAATTAAATTAATCCTTCCTAATAATTCTATTTTAATAAATGATTATAATAGGTATATTGATTTATGACCTGTTAATACTGAACCTAATTTTTATTTCCAAGAAGTTAAAGAAGAAACAAGTAAATTAAAATCACATTAATTTTATAAAAATTGTTTCATTCTACTTAACATTTTATTATACAGCTTTCCAAACTGAAAACTGATTTAAGCATTACCATATTGGAGAAGTACAATTAAAGAAATTAATGAAAGAAATTTGCATTATGACAGAGATTAATCTTGATAATAGGAAGATTACAAATCATATGGGCAGAAAAACTATGATTCAAGCATTACAGTATCTTGGCCAAAATACAGATTGCATTAGACATCAATCCCATCATAAATCTGACTAAGGGTTTCAACCTTATGTTCTTTCTTATAATCAGCAGCAACTAGATATAATGACTTCGTTAGTAAATGAAATTCACAAAAAAACATGTAGATTTTTCAAATTTTTTTTATTTTTAATACTAACCAATTATTTAATGTTAAAATAATTGCAAATATAGTGTTTGATAATATTTCTCCAATAAACTCAATGAATATAAATAAAAAACAAGTAAATAGAACATTTTTAACTGTAAAAGAAGGTATTATTTTGTTATTTAACAATAGTTGTATTAGAAAATTTGCTTAGTTAATTTTATTTTCAGTGTTAAAACAATCCAATCATCAAAATATTATGTCTACAAAAGCTAATACTTTTCAAATTCCTTTAAAATCTAATAATCAAGTTGAAATTGAAATGAAATTTATACAATTACAGGAATTATTAGAATCTGATGTATTGGCAAATATTTATTTGCACATAAAATTATCATAAAATATGTAATTATTATATAAAATCAAATAGAAGTAATATATATAAACATTAATTAGCTTATTATTGTATAATCATATTTTATATAGAATAATTGTAATAAATATTAGTCAATAAAATTGGTATGATTATATCTGGCTGAACTATAATTTGCATTACAGATATAATGATAAAATGCCAAAAATGTAATATTCTCATATTCATGTTTCATTCAGAAAACTTATCGAATATAATCCAACATTCTTCTCAAAAAATGAATATATTCATATGACTGAAAGATTATATGAAGATGGAAAATTCAGACTTGGGAGATACATATTTTATATTTATTATACTGCATGTGATTTCTTAGTATTTATCTGTGCTAAGAAATGCGCAGATAAGCATCTAAATGAATGCATTGCTAAAATAGAGGAAAGGCATATCTAAGGTTGCTTGCCAAAACCTAGGGGTTTAGGCAAGATAGCGTTTCGCTGAAAAGTGAAATTTTACTGAAACTATATTAAAGTTATATTAAAAAACTGGTGAAACTTTGAAGAAAGACAAAACTGCCGAAACTTATTATAAATGCCAAAACTGCTGAAACTCTGCCGAAACTATAATAAATCTATAGTAAAATTTTAACGAAACTAATCGTAGAATTTTGAAGAGGTTTAGACAAGCAACCTTAGGCATGTCATATATTATAGATCTATATTATGAAAACAAAAAAATAAAAAAGTGTTTAATGGTGATAAGATTGATGAAATTTATGGTAATATTTATTTTAAATACAGAAAAAGCTCTGAATTTTATTGTTCTTATACTTTAAAAGAAATTAAGAAAAGTGTTGCATATCATTTAATTAATAGTGCACACTGGTCGAAATAAAAACTTTCGGTCATGTGACAAATCGGCTGATCTATCACACATTTCGACCAAATTTCGGAAATTATTAAAAATCGGCCAAATTTCAACATATATGATTTATGGTCGATTTATTGAATTATTTAATCAAACGTTACGCATTACGCGTTACACGTATTAAAAGTTTAAAAAAGGATCATCCTTTTTTAAATTTTTTTTAATTTTTTTCTTCCCTTCCCTTCCCTTTCCTTTCCTTTGTTCCCCTTCCCTGTTTCCCTTTCCCTTCCTTCGTTCTCCTTTCCCTTTCTTCCCTTTTTCTTCCTTCCCCTTCCCCCTTTCACTTTTTTTACTTTTTTTTTATAAGTTCGGCTTTCGGGTGGGCTTCTGAAGTACAGAAACTCCAAAGATTCATAAGTATGAATACTTTGGAGTTTATTTTATTTTTTTTTAATACAAATGGTTACTAACTGTTCTTTTTTCTTTCTTTTTTTTTAGGTTCGGCCGTTCGGGTGGGCTTCCGAAGTACAGAAACTCCAAAGATTCGTAAGTACGAATACTTTGA